GTCATCACGGAATGTTGGCTTGAGGTATGGTATGATGGAAAGTATGCCGAATTTGGATTCAGGAGGTGAGTTCGACAATCGGCTTTGCCACTTTCTGTGTGATTTTGGGCAAATCTTAACTGCTGTGGGCTTCAATATCTTCATCTATAAAATGAGAGTGCTGGGCAAGATGACTCCTAAGGATCCCTCAAGCATTAAACCTATTCTGCAATCTTCCACCCCCATCTCACACATGCACACCACTGGTCACAGGAAGAAGGGCAGAGAGAGAGAAAAGAGACAAGACAGATGCAAAGACAATGAAAGAGAAGGAAACAAACCTTGCCCACAGGCAGCTTGATTCAGAGGAACATAAGATCACAGAACTAAAGCAAGAGGGGCTAATCCCCGCATTTTATGGATAGCATAGAACTTAGGGAACTTACCTAGGTCACATAGATTAGTGTTTATACATGTGTAACCACAGAACAGCAACCAGGCTTAACTTTATAACTGACAATAATTAGGAAGGCTCTATGCTAAGTGGTACAGTGAACAAAGCAATGGGCCGGGACTCAGGAAGACCCGAGTTCTAATCCAGCCTCAGACACCTATTAGCTTTGTGATCCTGAGTGACTCATTTAACCTGTTTGTCTCAATTTTCTCATCGGTAAAATGGGGATAATAATAGCACTGACCTCCCAGAAATGTTGTGAGGGTCAAATGAGATAATATTTGTAAAGCACTTAGGACAGTGCCTGGCATAAACACTTGATAAAAACATTCATAGTAATGATGATAATGATAATGATTGAAGGGAGGAGGGGGTTGAGGGGCTAGTGAAACTACTTCCTCCTGGTTTTAAATATGAAACCATAAGACAACGTACCAGCTACAGTAACCATGAAAGCTAGGACCCTAGACCAGGCTCTGAAGAAGCAGAGACATGAGGAGAACACGGTGTCTGGAGTTCGTGGAGTCTTTCCTCATAAAATGACGGCTCTTATGTAAATTCCAGAGTTCTACCTCCAAACCCAAGATTGGCAAGCCAACTGCATGCAGCTCACCACACTGAGATAATCCCTCGATGACACCAGTATGATGACACGGCCTGGGGTTTACTGTGTGGGTGGTGGTGTAACCCACGCTGAGGAAGCCAGCTTCCCCACTGGCTTCCATCTTGGCAACACTAGTTCCAGTCAATACAGCAACACATTCTGTAGCCCAGTGATAAAACTGTTGTAAACATATTACGTTCATATATGGTCTCAGAAACCATTTAGTCAATTGATGGCTGTAATTGCCACTCCATGATGTAATTGGTTTCTTTTAGCTTTCAAGTTATTTTTGCTATTTTTTAAACGCTTCTGTTGAAGTAAAACTAATTCAAGTGGGCAAGTCTCAGGATCTTATTGGGTTCACAGTTTGCTTATATATATAAATCAGACAGTTGGACTAAATGATCTCAAGGGTACCTTTCAGTTTTAAATCTGGGTTCTTGTGATCTTAAATCAAAACCACTGATTTGTTTCAGTCAATCTCCTTCTGTACCACAGTGCTTGTTTGGCATATTGGAAGTGCTTAATAAATGCTTGTTGATTATCTCTAACCAATAGGGATCATCAATGACAGGAGATCTTTCTACAATGAAGATTAATTCACTTTCCACAATGGTGCACATACTTACAAACACAAAAATTAAGCTGTTACATATTTGGGGACATTTGATGAAACATCATTGTTGTTATAATTATCAAGCACAGTGAGCTTAAAATGAAAAGACCTTGTTGAGTACCAATATACAAACACATTAAAATTGAGCCCTGTGCCAGTGACGGAAAGGCACTGCTGTGTACTACAGAAGCATCAAACTCTTGGCAACTTGAGGCTGGCTAAACTCCCAAAGTGGGCCCCAACTTGACTAAAATGTAACTTGGAAATGTTTAACAAAATAAATAAAAACCAAATATAACATAGATAACGTTACTTTGCAGTCTTCTGAATAATGTTCATTTGTAGTATCCTAAGAGAATATGCAGCCCACAACGATCCCATTTCTATTTGAATTTGACATCTTTAGTACAGTGGATAGAAGGACAGTTTTAAGGTCAGTAAGACCTGACGGGTTCAGACCTCACCTTCAACAATTATTAGTTATTATACACAGGCAAGCCACTATCAGATATACAGACTCCACCCTCTACACTGTCCCCAGCTCTGTCAGTGACAGTCAGATACAGACAAATCTCTGATCTGCATTGGTAAGAGAAAGTTTTACACACCAGAAGTTGCTTACGCCTGATAAAATCACAGATCTAGATGCAAAAAAAAAAAACAAAAAACTTGTCATTCCAACTTTCCTATTTCCAAGTTTATGCTTCTTTGATCCCTAATGTATCTATCAAAGGCTCTTACTAATGGGAATTAAAACCAGAACAAAACTATATGATTTTTTTTAAAGACAAAGTTGTCTACAAATAGATGCCAAATCTCACTTGACAGATTATTGCAAACATCTTATACAGTAATTACAATATGAAACCAGCCAATTTCTATTTTAAACAGTTCTTCATTCATTGAGATTGACCTGCCTTCCCATCACCACTCACCACCCAAATTAGTGAGAAACACATTATACTCTCAAACACTCATTCACTTTGACACTGAATCATTGCCCACCTTACACTTTATGTATCTTTCACAAGTATATTTCTGTCTATCTCATCTCCCCAATTAGACTATAAACTCCTTGAAGACAGGAATGGATCTTCCACATCTCATATTCTTCATTGGGCCTCATAAACCCATTCTAGAAATATTTGAAGGAATGAAGTAGCAAACATAATTATGTAAACTTATAGGGAAAAAAAATTTCAAAAATCACTTTGTATATGAGTATACAAAATGGAAAAACCCCTCATAACATAAGCCAAGTAATGTGCCTTCAACATATTAAAAAAAAAAACAACAGTAATTTAAGCATAACTTAAAGGGGCAGAGCTAAATGTAGTGGAGAGGGCATTAGATCTAAGAGATCAAAGACCTGGGTTCAGGTCCCAAAACTGTAACTTACTAACCAAGGGACCTTGGGCAAGAGAGAACATTCTGTGCCTCAACTTCCTCAACTACATAAAAGGAAGAGAGGCAAACTTTCTGAGAGATGATCTCTAGAGACCCTTCCATACTTGACAAGTTACAATTCTACAGGAGCCCAAAAAAAAAAGGGAAAGGGAAGGTATATGCCAAAAACAAAAACAAAAAAAAGCCATGAGAGGCAAACCACACCTCATCATACTGCTCTCCCTGCTGCCAGTAGCAATAATTATTATATTTATTGATACTCTGATAAAGGCAGAATTAGCTCATCTCTGAAGGGCACCCAACTCTAGGATTCTATGGCACAATGAGTAAAGAAAGCCACACAGCACTACAATAGGTTTTTAACTTGAAAAAATGGAATTCAGTTTAAATGCCACTGAATTCTTTCTCTCCACAGTCTCAGGAGGGAGCTTTGTAGGGGGGGTAATGTAGCCACAGGAAAGTTCTGTAGGAGAAACAAGAGAAATGCAACTCAACCTTCCTACATCCTACATCGAAAATGGAAATGCACTAATGGCCCTAACCAGAGTTTCATCCAGCTCAGTAGTCATTCTGCCTATCACTGGCATGGTCAGTGAGAGTAGGCAGGAGCTGCCTTATGTGACGGGTCTCTAGAAATGATGGCTGTACCCTAGACATCCTAAATTCCCTTTAAAATCTCACTGGATTCCAAAGGATTCATGATGAAAAATGCTATCCACCCCGCAGAGAGAGGAACTAATGAACTCTGAGTGCAAACTGAAGTATATATTTTTTCATAGTCTTTCTTTTTCTTGCTTTTTTTTTTCTTTTGCAACATGGCAAATATGGAAATGTGTTTTGCATGACTTCATATGTATAGTGAGTATTCTATCTCTTGCGTTCTCAATGTGGAGGAGAGGGAAGGATGAGATGGAGAAAATTTAGAACTGAAAATAAACATTTTTTTAAAAGAAAAGTAGAATTTGGATAAAACCAAATTCAAAGGAAAATAATTTAGACAAAAAAAATAGCATTCTCAAACATTCGCAGATGGTAATGAGTATGCTTTTCAAGAAATTAGGAATAACAACAAACATGGTGTGCTCAGGAGACAGTGAGGAAGCTAACCTAGATGGAACAAAGAATACACTTGGGGGAACATAGTATAGATAGTAAAGGTGGAGCAAAATTTAGGAGGAGTTCCATTACAAACTCGGGAGTATATTTCTTTATAACTGTAGTGATAGAGGGTGTTCCATTGAGGGAGGAGAACCTCACTGAATAGTGTTTCATCCACAAAAGTATATCAATCCCTAATTTTTGATGGGTAAACCAAGAATCATAGATTTAGGGGAAGAAGGGACCGCAAAGGTCATCCAGTCCAACCCCCTCATTTTACAAATGATAACAAATGGTTAAGTGACTTGCCCAAGGTCACATAAGGAAAAAATAACAGAGGCAGTATTAAACCCAGGTCCTTTGATTTCAGAGATAGGGCTCTTTCCACCATACCACACTACCTAGTAACTAACAGGAAGAGCACAGGATTAAGAGTCAAACTCCTCGGTGTGGAGATAAGAGGGATAGACTCGGGATCAGAGGATCCAATTCCACCATTTTTTACTTATGTGTTATTGGGCAAACCATTCTCTGGGTCTCCATTTCTTCCTGAGTCAAGAGAAGCAAGACAGAATGTTCCTCCCTTTCTTTACAAAGACCCTGGAGTACACACAAACGGCTGCTGAACCTCAAGCATCCCTCACTTTGTAGCAGAAGCCCATAGGTTTCCATAACCATTATGTCACCTTTTCTACTGTCGTTGGTTTGAGCCCAGAGTACCAGAGGCCACAGAAAACAAAAAAACAAAATTAACTTGGGCTACCTCTAGAGCTGTAGCTAGAGCTACACTCTCTCACAAAGTATTTGGACAGAAGAACTCAAAGAAATCCCAAAAAAATTACCTGTTTTGAGGATTATGCAGATCAGCTTCTAAGACTCCTGCCCAGGCAGCATCTACGGGGTAAACGAAAGGCCATTTTAAAGAAATTTTGAAACAACATGCAATAATCATGAATTGAAAATGAGGATCACCCAGAGGGCAAGAGAGAGGCACACGGTGAGTTAAAATAGGCTGCAACAGAACCTAGAGGCAGGTAGGAGATAGCTCTGGTCTTACAATACGGAAGTTGTTGTTCAATCACGTCCAACTCTTTGTGAACCTATAGACCACATTATCCATGAGGTTTTCTTGGCAAAGATACTGGAGTGGTTTCTCCAGTGGACTAAGGCAAACAAAGGTTAAGTGACTTGCCCAGGCGCACACAACTAGTAAGTCAGCTAGTAAGACTGCATTTGAACTCAAGTCTTTGTGAGTCCAGGCCCAGCACTATCCACTAAGCCATCTAGCTGCTTCCTATAATAAAATAAAAATATTGGCTCAGATATTTAACAGCAGCCAAATAACCCTGGGCAAGTTATTTAACCTCTTTCAATCTGAGATCTGGTAAACTGAACAGGGTTTTTAATGTCCCCTCCACTTTGAAACATGATCCTACTATCATCAATGAAGAGCTTTGAGGTACAGGGGTAAAACATGGCCTCAAGGAAATGAAAGATATACAAGCAGACATGTTGGTCACATAGAGAGGGAAAGCGATGACAGTCCCAAGTTCTCCAGCAGAAATATCATCTCTAAAATCATATTTAAGTGAATAGATTCCCCTTTGGGTATGACCAACATCACACAGAACGGGCAGGCAGGCTGGGTTGCAAGCTCTACCACTGGAGAAAACAGCTAACTAGATGAGATTACAGATCCAATCATGTCTTCTAAAATGTTAATAATGAGAGCGCATGCCGAAGGACTTAGGATTACTTTGGGCCAGCATTGGTGACACAAAGAGAGGTGAAAACATTATCCCCCACCCTCAGGTGTACGGTCCAATGAGGGAAACAATATGCAGATAGTTATGAACATACAAGATATATTACAGACCCCCCCTACCACCACCACCACCACACCACCTTGCTATGATGGACCTAGGGAGAGCAAACCAAATACTTCTCTACGATGGTGAAAAATGATTACTCATATCTGGCTGGGAATGGACTCGAGCTCTTCAAGCAAAGACCAGATGACACACAGTTAAGGATTACATAGACAGAACTGCTGTTTATGTATGGGTTGGATTAAATGGCCTCTAAGGTCCCTTCCAACAACAAAATTCCAAATCTGAGTCTGTTAAACCAGTATTAGAACTGGGACTCTGGATACAATATGTTTTTTCTAGGGTTTTGTTTGTTGTTTTTTTTCCCCTGGGGAACTTTCTTCTGTATCCTTTTACTTTAGTTAATTCAATGAATAAATATTTATTGAGTGTCCTGATCCCTACATATTGCAAGCCATCTTAGATACTATTTTCAGAAATCACAAGCCTCCATGGTACACAGGTTCAAAACTATTCCTCCTTCCTATAATGGGTATGGCTACTAGAAAAAAAAGTTTTCTATGTACACACTGGATTTTAGCTGCAACCCTAAACTGATCAACTCAGACATTCATTATTATTGTTACTATTACTAATAATAATATCTAGCATTTATATTTTGTTTAGTCATTTCAGTAATGTCCAACTCTTCGTAACCCCATTTTGGAGGTTTTCTTGGCAAAGATACTGGAGTGGTTTGTCATTTCCTTCTCCAGCCTATTTTACTGATAAGGAAACAGAGGCAAACAGGGTGAAGTGACCTGCCCAGGGTCACACAGCTAGTAAGTATCTGAGACCATATTTGAACTTAGGTCCTCCTGACTGCAGGAGCACTCTATCTACTGCACCACCTAGCTGCCCCTCACAGATTATATACAGCCTACTTTGTGCCAGGCACTGAACTAAGCACTTGAAAACTATCTCATTTGATATTCACAACAACCCTGGGACGCAGGGGCTATCGTTTACTTCCATTTTACAGAAAAGGAAACTGAGACAAATACTGTACACAGGTAGCAAAAGTCTGAGGCTGGATTTGAACTCAGGCTTTCCAGACTCCAGCCATAGCACAGTAGATATGAAACCAGAAAAAGAAACTAGAAATAGCAACTAACATAAGAAAAAAAAAAGTATTATTAATATCAACTACATCACGTTACCATCAAACAGAGGAAACTACTGTTGAAGTTGCTGAGCAAAACAACAAAAGGCTGGTTCTTAACCACACGCTAGGTATTATCCATTGAATAATGTGCTGTCTCCCGATACTAGTCATATTTCAAGCCAGGTTAATAAAGGCATGGAAGTAAAATTAGTCCCCACCATCCATTAAAGAAGCCAAAAATTTATTTGTTTAATAATGTATGAACAGGGTCAGCCTCAAGCAAAACTGAAGCAGGCCAGAATGCCCCAAGTACTCCCAACCTCCCTAATCTTTGTCCTTTTCACCCTCTTAGGAGTTCTCAGTTTTCTCCTTATCTGCATTATCAAGCCTGCTTTTTAGATCCTGTAAAAAGTGCTACACCTGAGAGGCAGGAAGAGCTGAGTTCAAATTCCACTTCTGAGGCATTTACCAGCTAGCCACATGACCACACACAAGTCCTTTATACTGCGACTCTTTTTCTGACAATATCTACCAGTCACCTAGGCTCTTAACTTTGTCCCTCATGTTCTTATCCTATTCTGGACTGTTCTCTGCATTCAAGAGCTTTCTGCTTTATATTAGAAGTACATTAGACCACTTGAGGGGAAAGGGACTGTGGTCTTTTTCCTTTTTTTTATCTTCAGCACCTAGTACATATGTCATCTCCCACAGCTCATAGTCTTGCACATAGCAGTCAATAAAAACTAGTTGGACAATGCTAATTCAATTAACTCATCATTTGCTCCTCCTTTCTCCTTCACTCCCTACTTCCAATAGTCTTCCAGTTCTAGGATCTAGTTTCTAGAATCCTAGCACCTCATGTTTAAGCTATCATAATAATCGTCTCCTGACTGATCTCCCCATCTCTAGTCTCCTGTCTTTTCTAATACATACTATAACCCTTCTGCCAAATAACTATCCTTGATCTAACAACATTAGGCATGACCAACTTAACAGCATGAATTAGTTCCATGAGAAGTGAAGATAAGGAGAAATAATGCTTGGGGGGGGGGGTTTAGGGGTAATTTCTACAGGAGCAATGCTATAAATGTAATAGCAGAATAACCAATCAATCAAAAATCACTTATAATCACCAACCATGTGCTAGTCATTCTGGTGATACAAAGACAAATATTAACAGTCTTAGCCCACGAGGAATTCACAGACTATTGCTGAAGACAAAACATATGCATATAAGCATATGCAAAATAAATGCAGGAGGAATTGAGGGAGAGGAAAGGGAAATAAGAAAGTCTCATAAAAGATGGTGATTGAATAGAGCTTTGAAGGAAGTCAGGGATTTTAAGAGGTACAGGTGGGGTAAGAGTGAATTCCAGGAAAACGGGGGTAGGGGGGAAGGGTGAACACAGCCTATATAAAAGCAGAGAGATGAACTGAAGAGATTATGAAAGCATTGGAGCCAAACAGTAAAGGGCTTTAAATAACAAACAGAAGAGTGTGTATTTGATCTTACACGTAAGAGGAAGTTTGTTGATCGGGGAGTGACATGGTCAGACGTGTGTTTGAGGGAGCTCATTTTGGTAGCTGTGCGGCAGGACTGTACAGACCCACCCATCCTCACAACTGTGGTTCAAGGACTAGCCAGCAGCAAGCTGGGCTAAACACTGGGTGGGTATATAATTTGTGTCTCTAGTGTAGAGCTGAATGAGGTTTGAAATATGGTAACTGGATTCAATTATAATGCTTAAATGGGATTATTATAAAACGACTTTTGTGTATCCATCATCATCACCATTATCATTTCAGCATCACTGTCATCGTGGAGTCACTGCACCCGTCTTCCAGGATTGTTGTGAGGAGAAAATAAGATAACATTTCTTCTGAGTAAAGAAAGCACTTTGCAAACCTTAGAGTGCTTTATGAATGTTATTTATTCTTTTTATTAATTACTATTTTAATTTTTATTATTTTATTTTTTATTTGTTGCTGTGTATTTTATTATTTATTATTATTACTATTAGTTATAATTACCATTATTATTTATATTATTACTACAGATTTAGAGCTAGAAGAGATGCTTAGAATCACTTAGTCCAACTCCCTCATTTTATAAACTCAGGCCCCGCAAGATTAAGTAATTTGCCCTGAGTTCATACAATTAGTAGGTAGAAATGTCAGGATCTGCATCCAAGCACTGGACTCCAAATCTAGCATTGCAACATACCAATCATGGTAACGCTAGAAAGGCACTGTGAGAACATGTAAAAGGGCCTGGAGGTGGAGGTGGGAAGAGACTTGTATTCAGGAGAAGGTCCCACTAGGTTTCCCCCTCTGATTGTTAGCCATGTGACATGCAATTTTGAGCAACTCCCTTAACGGATCTGAGCCTCAATTTCCTGATTTGTAAAATGGAGGCGGATAATACCTATAGTATTAGTTGGGTTGTTGTGATTATCAAATGAGACCTACCACACCTAGCAGGGTTGTTATGATGACCAAATGAAAGGGTATATGCCCTCTTAAAGGACACATAAAAGAACATATAAAAAACATAAACCAGATATTTTCATTATTCCCTTTATCATGTCACTTCCCTGTTTAAAACCCTATAATGGTTACACACTCCCTGTATTAAAGTTCACACATGGCATTCAAAGCCATTTACAATCTGCCCCAAACCTCTTTCCAATCAAATCTTCAAGCTTTTCCTTATACAAATAAACTCACTACTACCATTCAGACTGACCTACTAACTGCTTCCCCACACCCATCCCTTAAAAAAACCACACCCACACACTTTCAACTTCCTTCAAAGCTTAGTACAGTAGTATGCTGGTAAATGTTTAACAACCAGATCTTCAGAAAAAAAGAATATGCTCCCAATACTGTTTTAAACTTAATTAGTATTATTAACATTTTCT